GGTCTGGCCTGGAGCCCCTCAGGTGAGGCCTTTTCAGTGACCTGACTGTATAGGCCCATTTTGAAAATATATGAAATTTAGGGTCTAAATTCACTTACAGTCGTATGCAGCCAATGACCTCTCTCTCAGTTTGGGTTTTCTTTCTGCTGTCATTCATGAAAAGCATAAGATGGGGCTGGAGATATAGCTCAGCAGTTTAAGCACCTGCATGACAAGTGCAAGGTTGCGTTTGATCCCTGGGACCAAAACAAACAAAAAACCAACCAAACAAACACATAAAAATAAAAAGCATGAGATGTAGTTTGTCGTGGATAAAAGATCACTTCAGGCAGATGAATTTCTGTCAATCACCTGGTAAAATTTGTGTACCTCAAAATTTGTGTAGTTAAGGCTACTAATTACTAAATTAATGGATGGGAATGGTAAAGATAAAGCTAGTAGAGTATGAATATTTTAAAGCACAAAATCAGCTTCACATGGCACATGCCTGTAGCCCCAGCACTCAGGAGGATGAGACAGGAGGATGGCTAGGATTTGATGCCAGCCTGGAGAGACTTGTTTCAAAAAAGAAAGAAAGAACGAAAGAAAGAAAGAAAGAGAGAAAGAAGGAAGGAAGGAAGGAAGGAAGGAAGGAAGGAAGGAGGAGAGTGAGAGAAAGAGAATAGAGAAAGAAAAAGCAAAAGCACAAAATAATGCATTTTAATGGATCTAAGCTCAAGCATCTATAAGATACAGCTGATGATATATTTCATATTTCTTTTTATCTCCCTCTCTATGTAAAACTACCATTGTGAGATATTTTAAAAATTGTACTAATTTTAATAAACTCTCTTTATTCCTTCCCTACTGTCACCGTGAATTTGCGCAGTGCCAGCCTGTTACTGTTAGAATTGCTGTTCAACGAAAAATGTATTACGATCTGCTGTATGCATAAAAATTACATTGTAATGAGCAAAACTGAGCGAAACATAATTGTGCCTCTACTAGTACTGTGACAGGGAGTGTCTTTTATAATAGTGATTATTTCCATGCCAGTGATAATTGTATTGTCTGATTTACATTGTGTTCTCCTTGCTGCCACATTAATACTCAGAATGTGTTTATCCATTCCGTGGAGATGCAGTTTCCTCCAAGTCTAGTTAACTCTCTCTTATTCCTTGAAAAGTCTTAAGCATTTATGACGTAAAAATGGTGACAGCAGCCGAATTCTATCCCTAGAAACTGCCCTTTTAGCCTAAGTTCCTTGATTGGGTGTATGTACTTGCTGGAGGTTCTTCTGAGCACATCACAAAGGGCTTAACAGTTAAAGCAAAAATATTCAGCTGTCTGCCGCAAGCTAGCACCTGCTGGGAGGTAAAGGCATTCTACCACTGCAGAATGGTCATCTCAAGATGAAAAAGCGTGACAGCTTCTCAAGTGCAAATGGCAGAGAGGAGGGTTGCTACCCACTCCCACTTAGAGATGTGTCAGCATGCATCCCTTCAGCCCTTAAAGAAACCTCACATTGTAGACTTCCTGGGTCAAGGGGCAAACAGAATTTACAAAACCCATTCATTCTGGAAGGACTTTGCTTACTTATTCAAGTCCTTTCTCATTGATCTCAACAAAGCACTTTTTTCCTCTTTCTTTCCTTTCTCTCTCTTTTTTGGCATTTGTTTTGTTCACTCATTATGGAAGTAACTGAAAAATTTTAAATGGAGTAAATCCCTTTAAAATGAATTTCTTCAAGGAATGGTTGGGATAAAAAGTTGAGTATTCACAAAAAAGTCTGGAAAACACATTAGGGAAAATGTGTCTTATGGTGGCATTCGGTTTATAGCAAGAACAAAAGTTATATTGTATTTTTTGAACCCAAAACTGCTACAATAGATTGCTATAAATATATAGGTTTTAGAATCAAAACAAATTCATATTCTTGCCATGTCTTCTATACTTGTAGAATCTGCAAAAGCATCTAAGATTGTGAATCCCCACTGTCAGAATTTGGCAGTTAAAATTGATTGCTGATTTACAACCCAGCTGGTTCTTGGGTCTTGGCTGCAAATCCTCCTGTTCAAATCAGGAACTGCCTGACTAAGAACTCACAGTTTTCTCTGCTCTTAAGTTGCTAAAAGAAAAATGTCTTCCTCTAATTTCTTGTCTATATATGTTATTTTTACTCTCCTCTGCCCTCCCTTCCTTTTCCCTCCCCTCCCCTCCCC